CTTCAAACTGCGGATGTTGGCTGCATTGGCATCTGATCTCAGCATGACCTGGATGTCTTGCAGAGTTTCTTCACCTGAAGGACGAGGACGGGTGACCTCATCTGCAACTTCTTTTGCTGCTTCTTCCAACTACAAAGGGAATAACTAGGCTATTACTGACATACTACAGTGTAATATCAGGACTGCTCTCGTTACATGACTGAATGTCAGCGCACCAGATCTCCCATTCCCTCCATCCTTACCAGCTGAAGGTGCTCCGCTGGTTGCTTGTACAGATAGTCAGCAAGATCTTCATCAAAGCTGGCTAAGTCTTCCATCTCCACCTCAATCCAATACTGACCCAGGTTATAGTGCCGTTTAAGCTCATCCCTGCAAGGCAGTAGGTAGTAAATGCTTGCAGAGCAGAAAGCACTAATCTTAACAAACGTGTCCAGCCACCATTCCACAATGACCCTGTCACTAAACAGGGAGAAGAGAAGGCAGGTTCTGCATGGAGTCCTTAGTTTGGAAAATTGGGAAATTCCCAATTTCCTTAAATTGGGAAAATAGGGAGAGCTCTAAGAGAAGCCAAGGGGGTCCTGGGCAAATCTTTCATCCAAATACTCTCTGAAATGTGACACAAGACCAGGAACACTAGTGCTTGCAGTGACAGTGTAAATTTAGTGCTAATACTTTAATTCTAGAATCACAATATCAGATGTGCAATTCAGGAACTCCTATACAGAATGTCTATTGTACCTAAACTGCGATTCTAAAAAACAGGATGTAATAGCATAGCAGGCAATATTCCCCTTATAAAAACTAGGGTGCAAGAAATTCAGACATGAAAGGTGAAAGATTTCCCTAACCCTTGCATGATATGTCTCCATCTTCTCTCTCCGTAGTCTCTCCAAGTTGCATAGGCAAAATGATAGCCAAGGGACCTTCAGAGCCTCAGAGGGCATAAGCGAACAGTGCTTTACCAATTTTAATACTCCCGATCAGACCAAAACTCTGGACCAGGAAGCACTAAAACTTGAAAACAGACCTTGAAATTCTGATCTAAGTGCAAGTTCGACGATGCAGATCCCGCTATTCCTACCTCTGCCACTGTAGACCAGACTACCGCCTAAGAATTTGGGAGAATGCCAAACCTCAGTTTTCCCATAAGCTCAAATGGGAACAATGTCATTTCTTATCTTAACAAAGAGCTCTTCGGGGTCTACAGGAAGGAAACAAGCTAAAATACGCTACTGTATCCTTTTGACTTACATAGCAGAAGGCAGGTTAAGAGCGGATTGGACGTGCAAGGAGGAGTGAGTGAGTAAGGCTACAGAGAGAGAAGAGCGG